GATTCCTTTCCATCTCTTCTTCTTTTGGTGTTCGTTGATAAGCTTCCACACCAGGAAGTTCTAGTAAAAGATCCCCTCCATTTTTTTCACTTTTAACGCTCTCAACCTGGACAGTTTGACTAGTTCCACCTCCTCTGTGAGACAGCTGTGCTGTTTCCAAACTCATATCTGATTTTCGTCTTTGCAGATATTGTCCAGGTGACTCAATCTGATCCAAATCAAAAATTAATTCATTTGCTCCTATCCTATAATCAGAATCTTTTTCAGCGGCAACAAGGTCTTCTAGAGTTACTTCTTCTGGCGTTCCTGGACGTATAACTTCAGAAGTAATTTGATCCTGATCAGGAGCCTCGCTCTCAAATAGTTCATGAGCAACTTCAGATGCTTTTGCAAGAGTATGTGTTTCTTCTATAAAACTAGGAAGTTCAACTGTTTTTGGTAATTCTGCTACTAAACACTCATTTTCTTTTGAAATTGTATATTTTTCTAATCCTTCGTATATTTCTGGGCTACGAGGGATTTTCATTTCGGTTGATGCCTCTATGAAAAACTTTTCACTTTCTTCAGTTACAGGAGTAGTTTCTGGGGATTCTTCTGAGAAACGATATGCTAATCCCGATGCTTCTGCTTTACTAGTAAGTTCGGGCAATAATTCTACATTTACTTCCAATTCTTGCTTAACTTCAAAATCCAATGCTTGCTTTTCTTCATCGTAAGAACATAGAGTTTGTTTTTCCATTACTAAGCCTTCATCAGTAGGTTTCAGCGGCAAAGTAACCGGTGATTCACTTACGGCAGTGGACACACTGAACTGAAACTTCTCTTCTGGTAAAAACTTCTCTCTCCACTCCTCAGTTTCTTTTTTTGGAGCTCCAATTTCGTGTACATCTAATTCACTAGCCGCCTCTTTTTCTTGACGATCAAAACTAGATTCCTCTGACACTTCTACCACTGCCCGATCTTCTTCATCATTTGGCTTCTGCATTAAGTCACTCTCGGCACGATGAGCAATTTCTCCATTACTGACCACAAAAGTTTCCCCTCCCAAGTTCTGAACTTCTAGCAAACTTTCAAGCGGCTCTGCCTCAATTTCTGATGATTTTTCGAGTTTCAGTACTGGAAACTCACGCTTTGCAGAAATTTCGTCGTACAACTTACGCTCGTGTTTTGTATAATGCAGTCCTCCCTTTGATACTTCAATGTCGCTGGTGCCTGTTTTTGGCAGTTTCTTCTCTTCTCTCGTATGTGAAACGGGGAAAGCTCTTTCTTTGGGACCAGGTGATAGAGAGGTTCCCTCTTTTCCCAATTCGCGTTGCTTCCGTAAAGCTTCTTCTTCAGAAGCTAAACTTAACTCCATATCTTTGCTAAGCTTTGTAGAAAAAACCTCTTCGCCAGTAAAATCATATTTACGTTCTTCTTGTCTTTCGTATTTTACTTCTTCAGCACCATACTTTTTGGAACACAGTTCTTCAGTCTGTTCAAATTCTCTGCCCGTTTCTTCAAAAATTTTTTCTCTCTGATCTTCACTAGCCCTCTTCATCGTTTTGTACACAGCTGACGCAGTAGAAGCGACCACAGCCGCAGGTGCAATAGCAATACCGCCGGCGATCAGTCCAGCTTTCTTCGCAATATCAAGTGCTTTTGATGCTATTCCAGGCTCTTCTCTACCTTCACTTTCTGTCTCAAATTCGGTATCTCTTCTGTCCAGAGGAGTCCAAGTGTATTTTTCGACAAGTCCAAGTTCTTCAGGCTCACTCTCCAGCAAGCTCACTGATTTTTCCACTGACGTGAATTGCTCAGTAGTATCATAAGCTGCAGCTTTTATTCCGGATGTACTCGGAAAAGTTCTTTGATCTTGGTTGTGCAGCACTAATGGTTCTTTCTCCATTTCCGTTTGTTTAACTGTATCATATATCTGTTCAGAAAGCTGAACTTTTGCGCTGCCATTTTCTTTTCCCAAGCTTTCCTCTTTAGAAGGCGTAAAGATTTTATTCAGTCTCTCACCTTCTAATAACATTTCTTTCACCTTCACATTCTTATCGTTATCACTTAACTCGCCGTGAATGTAGTCTCTCATGGCAAGACTTGAAAGTTCTCGCTCCATTTCACTTGAAATGGGCTCCTGCGGTAGTTCCTCCTCTTTTGCAGTAAAAGTAGATTCACCGGTAAGATCAAGGTCTTTAGTCCTCGCTTCTAGTACAGAAGCTTCTTCACGTGGTTTGGCAGCTTTTTTGGAATGCCCGTCTATTTGAGTCTCCCATACACTGCCCTCCTCACTCAGTGCACTAAGAGGTTCAGCAGTTTTCAAAGATTGTTTCTTTTTTTGCCTTTCCTCCTCATGGAAGATATTAACTCCCCCAACAAACTTCTGCTCTTTTGGCACTCCCTCCTTTTCATGCATCACAGTTACACCGTCAGTTGCCTTACTCTGGTATGAAGGCAAAACTGAAGAAGCAGAGTCATGCCAATAAACATCGTTCTCTTCTAACGCCTGAAGAGTTTCTGCAGGCAACAGTTCCTGCTCCAGCTCTTCTTCTCGCGCAATTGTTGAGCACTCTTTAACAAAGGCTTCCTCCTCTGGGACATATCCTACAACTTCCTCCTTAAGAAAACCATCTTCTTTGAGTTCAGGAGCGACGATCGTAGGTACAAAGTCAACAAGCTCTTCCTCACTCTCTCTACCCCTCACAAATATACTTTTCTCAGCTCCTTCCCTCATAACTTTTTCACCAGCAATCACGGAAACTAAACCTTCTCCAGACACAAACCGGTCTGACCCGCCAGTTACAGCCTCCTCCAAAACACCATATACCTTGAAACCATCCTCTTCCTTCGTTTGGATTCTATCCAGTGGTTCAGCTCCAACAGCACCCATAACCTCATCCGCAAAACTCCCAGAAACAAACTCGTGCGGCTTTTTTTCCAAAAACTCCGTTGCCCGCATCGCCGACAAAACTTCCAGTTCGGATTCAGGTACTTTATACTTTTCTTCCTCCATCTTCTGACTGCGGTCATCTGTCATAGCTTCTACAACAGTGGGTTTCTCGTGGT